AACAACCATTCTTTGCTCATCAGTCACACAAAGTGAGCCATGGGGCAGACCTGACCTGGAAGGTAGTGTCTGCTTTGTGAAGTAGCGAGTCCCCCAGGACTAGAAGCAATCAAGCCACAACTGGAGGAGTTCCTAGCAGGGAAGCCACAGGTAAGCTGTCCTCGCACCGCTGAACGAGAATACCCTTTGTGATCTTTTCCAAAGTTGAGGCATTTTAAACCTAACCCATCCCACACATACAATACTTCCTCACTTGCCTGGGTTCTGAGGTCCCCTTCACCTTTGAAATTGGTCCCCTGTCCTTTTCTGCCTCAGTTCACTGTGGAGCGGTGGAAGTGATGGTTCTTGGACACCGAGTGCTAAGATTCGGGTGACTGTGAGCTAAGAGACACAGACTGAAGCCGGCCCTGACTTCGGCGTTGAGATGCTGTCTGCAACGGGGTGGCTGCAGATGAGGAACCCAGCAGGCTCTAAACTCACCTCCAGCCCCTGAGATCCGACAACAAGAAACACAGCAAAACCAGTCTCTCCATGTAGACACAAAGAGGCCTGATTTATGGTCACCAAGAACACCTGGTCCTGAAAAGGTAAACACAGAAGCTTCTGGCTCCTCTCCAGAATGCTCTGTGAAGCCATTTACCTCACAAGTCCATCTCAGATCGAGCCTAATTCCTCTCCATGTCTAGCAAACAGCTAATGAGCATCAGCCAGGTGTGTACATAGGAGTGAAGACCACAGGTCTTGAAACAAGATGGCCAGGATGGAAATCTAGCATTTATTGCTCAGCTGTGTGACTTGGGGGAGATGCCAGGCACACGACTGTGGGGGTGTGAGATAATTCAAGTGGCTTCTTTTACACAAAGTGACATCTGTATGTCTTTTCTAGAGAGCTGGTATGGTTCAAACTTTTTAAAAAATTGTTGCCATTATACATTTGCGATAGGCAGTGACTGCCTTCAGTCGGAGGAACTGGTACACACACATTGAATCTCGATTGTTTTCACTCCCCACCCCTATTCTCCCCTCTTCTCTGACCCTCTTCCCATTTGCACAGAGTCTCCTCCTTGTTTCTCATCATCTGTCTTTCATTTTGCTCTTTAAGTTATTTTTATTCTGGGTTTCTCGTAGGAGAGAAACCATGCGGTAGTTAAGCTGGTGCGCCCGAGGTATCTCACTTAGCCCTACCTAGCGACCTCGTACGTCAAATCTAGGCCAAAGTGCACCCTACGGTGGCACACAGAGCTGGGGAGCTGTGTTGGTGGCTGCTCACCTCACCCGTATCCTGTGATGACGCACAGAGTTTAATTCTGGGTAAGATCTCAGGTTCTTGTGATTTCCATTTGACCATCTGACTCTATGCTATCTTATTTTTTTCATGAGAATTAAAGCACTTAGAATAGGGTCTGACACACAGTAAGTGCTCAGTAAATGTCATTATCAGAGACTGCATTCAGGGACTGACACGGTTGGGACATGGGGGGTCCCCCAAAGGTTCAAGTGCTGTAGGGCTGGTGCCCACTGTAACTGTTTTGAAAGGTGGTGGGCCCTTTAAGAGGTGGAACCAAGTGGGAGGGGGTTGGGTCACCCGCGCCCTGGGAAGGGATTACCACTGATCTATGGGATGGGCTAAGTCCCGGAAGTGGATTCATTCCCAGGAGGGCTAGAGCAGGTTGTCAGAAAGGAGTGAGCCAGTCCTTCCCTCCCTGGTCCCTCTCACCGTGGGGTGGGATCTCTCCCGCCGTGCTCCCACCATCAGATGCCACCACCCACGTGGTGATGCAGCCAGCCACCAGCATCATGAGCCAAACAAACCTCTTTCCTTTCTAAGTTCCCCAGCCACAGGTGATCTGTTATAGCAACACAAAGCACACCAAGCCAAGGACAGATGTGTGTTTGTCGTGGAAAGTGCAGAGCAGTGCACGAGTATGAGTTCTTATGCTTTGTCATGGATTAAGGAGCACAGATTGTTAAAGACCAAGGTTGGAATCCTAGCTCTGACTCTTCCTAGCTATCTCACCCTGGGGGACCCTGTGCCTCTGCATCGGAAGCACTTGGCAACCGCCTTCACCAGTTTTTGATCACACCTCATAAAGATACTCAGGAAAGAGGACTGGAAGTGTAAGAATTCAGAAAGTGCAAAAACTATGGGATAAGTGTGTTGGCAGTGAAGGAGAGTGTTCCGAGAGGGCTTAATGCCAATGTGTCTTTTGCTGGGGAAGCGAGTGTTTGCAGCACAGAGCCTGCATTGAGGTCTGGACGGGTGGCCTGTCCTCCTAGGGACAGGAGTGGAAGAGACCGGGCCAGCCTGGGTAGAGGCTGCCAGGAAATGTTCTGCCCAGACTGTTCCTTCTGCCTGGGGAATGCAGCAGATGGTGAGACCCGGGGTGCTGGCAGAGCTGCAGCATAGGGTCAGGGGCCAGGCCACCTGCCTCCCTGGGGATGCCAGCCGTGGATGGTTCCATGAGTAATAAATGAACTCCTGTTAAGCTAAGCCTACACCATACAGGGACATGTTTGTTAGGCAGCTGGCATCATGCAGACTAATACATGCCTGCTAACATGACTCCGAATTTAGTCTTCATGTATAGAACATTCAAGGCACATTTCCCAGGAACATGCTACTAAGGACGGCTTTTCTTGGTCAGTGACCTTGGAACTGTATTTTTAGTAAGTTTGGGACAGAAGTTCTGCAATCATTTTTTGGTTGGCAGCTAAGGAGCTTTGGACTGTATTGTGCAGGGTGCCTGTCACATAGAACAAGCGGTCACACACCTGTTCTGCAAATTGGCTTCACAGTTTCAAATACTCAGACCACTCCTCTCCCTCCTGCCTCCGCTGCTGTCCCCCACCCCAGTGTGGCCCACAGCAGGCGCTCAATAAAGGCTTGAGAAATTGATGCAAATAGGATGAAACCTCTCTCCTATTCTCTCATTGATAAAGAATTTGGGGCCAAGCTGACCAGTCCCCTCTACTGCATGGCACGGGCCAGTGTGGGCTCCATATTTTTGCTGATGCCACTAAAGCCCTGTAATCTCTTCCTGGAGCTTCAGGTATGGCAGAATCTGGGGCCTTTGTCTCTGTGTTCTCTGCCCCTCAAGCCTTCGCTGCCAGGCCAGACCCAAGCACGTAGCCCTCAGAGCAGCAGTCCGCCCCCTTCCCAGCCACTCCACAAGGATTTTGTTCATTCTTCACCAAGCACCAACAGAGCATGCACTCTGTCCTCAGCACAGTTCTAGGTTCTCGGACAGATCACAAGCCCCAAACCAAGTCCTCTCATGGGTTGGATTTTCCAGTTGGGGGAGACACACTTAATCCACCAGCCAACGGCAGCCCACACGCCAAGTCTGGCCCACTGCCGCTTTTGCAAATAAAGCTTTATTGGAACACAGCCACACCCTCCATTCATCCACTCATCCTTGATGCCTATGTTCACAGGACCACTGCAGTGGCCAGCAGCTGTGACCGACATCATGTGGCCTGTGGAGCAAAAAATACTTGCTACCTGGCCCTCTGCAGAAACAGAGTGGCCAGCTCTGCATTCAATACAGGAGAAAACAGATGAGCCAGCCAGTAGAAAGGAAGTGAAACAAACACAGAGATAGAGTGGGTGTGCGTGCATGTGTGTATGTGCCTGTGTGTATGTGTGTATGTGCTGGTTTTAAATTAAGTGCTTGGGAAAGGCCTGCTACACCAGTCCATAAGCCCCTGAGAGCAGAAGCTGCCTCTGTCTGGATTGTCACCAGTGTCCCCTGGCTCCCACAGGCAGCTCCAGAGCATGCATGCCAGTGCTCCCCTAGCTGGCGATGCAGACACCCTGCAGGGCTGAATGAACCTGCTCCTTGAATTCACAGTACCTGCACCACAGGCGCCTTCCTCTCCCTTCCTCCCCTCCAGCTCTCTGACCGTCCTCCCTGCCGCCTGGACCTGTATGTGGCTGACACTTCCCTATCATCACAAGGCCCACTCGGCCACCTCTTCATAACAAACACCCTCACATTTCAGATGGGGACAGGGGCTTTTCTTTTCTTCTTTTTTGGTACCGGGGACTGAACTCTGGACCTTGTGCTTGTGAGGCAGGTGGTGGCACCTCTGAGCTAAATCCCCAGTGGGACAGGGGCTTTTCACCCACCACCAATGTGCTAGACCCAGATCAGGATGGCCCTTGAAAACCAGCGATGCCAAGGGAGAGCTGGAAGATCAATTCTGTTTGTTTTGATAGAAACTTTGTCTTTTCATCAACACAGAAATCAAAGCAGAAGAGCCAAGAACAGCCTCTCCCAGAGAGTGCACACAGCCCTGGCAGCCCCTGCCCAGAACCTGCCTGCTCAGCCCCACCATGAGCCCTGGGGGACCCAGGATGGCACAGTCCCTGGCATCATTCAGTTCTTTTAGATGGGGAGACTGAGGCTCAAGAAGAAGAGAGGACTTTTCCTGTGACCCATGGCGAGGAAAGGCAGAGCTGGGGCCAAGAGCGAGTCCTGGGGGAGCAGAGGCTCTGAGCATCCTCCACTCCCACACTCAGGTGGTGCTGAGGGGCTGGGCCTGGCATTGGCAGCTCTTCACCTCCTGAGGACTGCCAGGAGCCTTGCGTGCACACTCAGTTCTCAGCAGAGCACAGCCACAGTTGGGGCTGAGCACATCTGAGACCCCTCATTGGAATCTTCCACACTAACCCACGGCTCTGTGGACCCAGGCTGCACCTTGATTTGCTCTGATTTGTGACAAACCAGTCAGAATCTGGCCCATGGTTCTCCCAGTGAAAATCGCTATTCTGCTACTTATGTTGTCACCCACTCACTTTTGGATGACTCGCTAACCAGCACCTGCAGGCAGACAGTCCACTGCATGTACAAGGGTCAAGGGACAGGCAGGGACCCACCCTTTCCCCTCGCAAGGCTTTGCTTCTTTCTGAGTCCCAGGCTCCCCACTGTAGGAGGGGAAACCCCATCTTGGTAGTGGCGCTGAGCCCGTGGCCTCACCACGAAGGAGGGGGTGCCTACCTGGGCCGCTGCAGAAGGAGGCGATGATGGCCAGGATACACACGATGCTGAGGTAGGGGACCCAGGGGGCGCGGTCCTGCGAGAGAACAGAGGAGGGGTGAGGAGGCAGGGGTGTCCGGAGGACCTTGGATCCCACCGCAGCTCCTGCTTGGTGCATCCTGTGACCTCTGACAGTCACTTCCTGTCCTGGGTCCCACGTCCTGTGTCCAGAACGTGGAGAAAATGACAGTCATTTCACGGGCATGAGGAAGCAAGGGTTCACGACCGCAAGAGCTCAGCAGTGTCCCTGGCAGACAGTGAGTGGTACATAAGTGAGTAACTCACTGATCAGGTGCTTCGTCTGAAGCAGGCAACAGGAGGAATATTTATAGAGATCAGACACTGCAAACATTTCCTAGTCACCACTCTTATTATGTCAGCCACATTTACACCCCTGCCGTGTGCTCCAGGCAGCTCTTTCAAAACCTCTGACAAGGCAACAAAAAGACAATGACCCGACAAAGACATCTCCTGAGTGGCTTCCCCCACACCCCACCCTTTGGTACTTAGGATGGAACCCATGGCCTTTGCACCGAGCTACTTTTGTTTTATGTTGAGACAACATCTCACTAAGTCTTTTAGTTGCCCAGCTGGGCTCAAACTTGTGATTCTCCTGCCTCAGCCTCCCAGAGTGCTAGAATTGTGGGTTTGCACCATCACACCCAGCTCTAAGTGGCCTTTTCAGAACCCTGAGTTTTAAGGAGCCTGTGAAGCCAGCCTCTGAGGGTAACCCGGAGCCTGGCTTTTGGGAAGAAAGGAACTGTCCCTGCGGGCACATCACCCTGACGGAGCTATTTTCCCCTCCCCAGCAACAAGTCACTGTCCCCCAGATGCCACCATTCTGTGGTCATCGCTGTTTGCAGCATTAAGGCATTTAGCAATCAACGCGAGCAACTTTCAATCTCAATGCGGAGATCTTTGATCGCTGCGCCCACTGGCCGGAGCCCGTGCAGGTGCTCCGTTAATGGAGAGCTGGGGCGGGGAGGACATGTGGGATCTGGGGTCTGACCCCAGCTCTGCCCTCCTCCAGTTGTCCCACCTCGGCTTTCATATTTATGCCTCCCATCTCCAGGACAGGAGGAAACATCAGTTGTGTAAGGATGAAGGACGTCACTGTGCGTCCCCAACCAAGCACGTTTCTCTGAACCCTCGTTCAAGGGGCTTCCCGTGCGTTTGAAGCAGATGCCTCACAGAGTCCCAGGGCAGAGGGACGAGCGCACCACCTAGAGGAGGCACCCGGAGAGGAGCAGACCGCTGAGTGTCTTCCCAGGGCCGCCCAGCCAGGAAGCGGAAGAGCTGGATTTCCACGCAGGCGCACTGGCTCCAGGGCCCGCTGCTGGTAACTTCCGGGCAAGAAAGCAATGACTGGGAAGCACTCGGATGCAGGGCCCCAGACCCGTGCTGGAATGAGACAGCTGCAGAGGCATCTTAGGGGCCATCCTGTGTGATCTCCTCTCTTCCACAGAGGCTCAGAGAGGGGCTGAATCTCACCCAGGATCACACAAAGCATCAGCGGCAGTGACAGGACCAGAAGCCAGGTCTCCTGTCTCCCAGCGCAAGGTCCATTGACAAAGCCACCCAGAGGCTCTGAGCTGAAACAGGCGGATCGCAGGAGCTATCTGCAGGCAGGATGAGCCCCAGAACAAAGGCCCCTGTGTGATGAAGCCAGGTGCCAGCTCCATCCGCCCTCCCTGGAGGCTGGGCAGGGGCAGGGACTCACCTGCAGGGTCAGGGTGATGGTGAGAATTCCAAAGAAGATGGTCATCAGCACGAAGCCACCAATGAGCAGGGGTCTCCGTCCCAGGCGCTCAATAACCAGGCCCTAGTCCGAGGGAGAAGAGAAGGAAAAACAGATGGCAAGCATTTTATTTATTTATACAGATAACATGATTTTTTTACACAGAAAACCCCCAAAAAATGCCACCAAAAGACTAGAACTGATAAACAAGTTCAGTAAAGTAGCAGGATAAAAAAATCGACATAGCCTCTTTAATAAATGATTTTGGCGAAAACTAGCTATCCACATGGAGAAGGTGGAAGCTAGACCTATGTCTCTTGCCATGTACTGAACTAAAATCAAAATGGATCAAAGAGCTAAATGTTTAGAGGATTTTTGATACCAGGGATTGAACTCGGGTCTTTGCAGTTTTGAGGGCAGGCAGCAGAACCACTGAGTAAAATCCCCAGCCCTAAAAGGCTAAATGTTAAAACAGAAACATTTATCCTGGTGGAAGATAGAATAGGTAAAACTCTTGAAGTCATAGGTGTAGGCAAGAATTTTCTGAACAGAATCTCAGTTGCATAGGCAGTAGTATCAAGAACCAACAGATGGGATCACATCAAATTAAAAGGCTTCTGACAGCAGAAGAAACCAACAGAGTGAAGAGACAACTTACAGAAAGGGAAATTTTTTGCAAGCTATTCCTCAGACAGAGAACTAATATCTAGGATGTAAAAAGAATTCCAAAATATAAGACCATCAAAAATTTAAGACTCAATCAAAAAATGGGCAAGTGAAATGATCAGACACTTCACAGAAGTTCAGATGGCCACTAAATACACGAAGAAATGTCCAACTGGCCGTTAAAGAAATGCAAATTAAAACTACACTGAGATTCCATCTTTCCCCAAAACAATGGCCATCCTCAAGAAATCAAATAGTAACTGGTGAGACTGTGGGGAAAAAGGAACCTGTTTGCCTTGTTGGTGGGAATGTAAACTGGTACAACCACTATAGAAATCAGTATGCAAATTCCTCAAAAACCTAAAACTAGAAATTCCATTTGACCCAGGTTTCCCCTTCTAGGTGTCTTCCTGAAAGAGTTAAAGTCATCATATTACAGTGATACATGGACACCCAAGTTTACACAGCACAGTTCATGACAGCTAAGTCTTGGAAGTAGCCTCTGTGTCCACCAACAGACGCCAAGCAGTGGAGAACCATCATTTTGCATTACGATGCCAATATTTAAACGCTTTGTTTTAGGCAAGGTGTCTAGCTTGTTTCATTTCCCTAAGTCTCTGGATGAACCAGGCACCTGAGCGAATGGAAAGCTCGAAACCTCTCCCTGATTTGGGAGCCAACTGAGCGATGGTCCAGGAATACCTGAGGAAACAGTGTTGGCAGAGAAGGGAGGAGGCCTCCTGACTCGAGACGCAGCAGCAGGGTGCTGGGCTTCCTCCTCCTCCTCCTCCTCCTCCTCCTCCCACCCCCCTCCCCTTCTCCCCTCCTCCTATCCCCGTTAACCTGCAGCCTGGCAGAAGAGCTCAGCAGGATGTGGTATTTTCGCTCAACACTGAAGTCCCCAGTGAAGACACCGACAGTGTGACTGGATGGATGAAGAAAGCAGGAAGGGCGGAAGGAAGGGAAGTAGAGTGTAGCATTGCACTCACTTCAAATTTGGCTCAATCAGAACACCCAAACCAGACCTAATGTTTCCATCCTAGAAGATAACGCCCTCCTCTCTGTCTGTGCAGGCTGGGCCATTCCTGTCCTGGCTGACTCCACGCTCATGCGCATGTGTGTCCCGTGGCCGAGTGTGTGCAGGGCCCAGGAGCCTGGAGCGGAAGCGCTGTAAGCAGGGACACTGCCTCCATCTGTCTGGTCCAGGTGTGGACCCCTAGCTCTAGGCAAGCCTAGTAGAACAGGTGAAGACCAGGACTGGAGGGACACGGTGTACATACACACAGACACACACACACACATGCACACACACACTTTCCCACTTATATTTAAAAGCAGCTCTGTACGTTTCCCCAGTAGCACTGATCAACATGGGGAAGACACCTAGGAATCTCCAGAGCAAGGCCAGCACACGGGCCTCCCAGTGAGTGCCCCTCCTGTCACTCTGGGGCACAGACTGCACATGATCCCGGACTCTGCTGGGCCCCGAAGAGTCTCTGCCACAGAGGGCGGGAGGACGGAGCTAGGGTCACCAACTCAGCGCTGCACAGAGAACAAGCAAGTCCCAGTCCCAGCGTCACCTGTTACTTCTTGCAATTCTGCTTTAAATCTGAGACCAAATCTCCCTCTGAAGAGAAGCTGAGACCTTGAAAAGTCTGGGCTACCTGCAAGTTAATGGCGTTTTAAAAAAAGTCTGTGTTCGGAAGGCAGTGTCGGAAAGAATCTGCACTCAGGACAGACTCTACATTTAAAGGAAAAATATGTCATCGAAACATGAATTTTGTTGGAAGTTTCAGCTTAAAAGATGAATTTGTGCATGCCTATAATCCAGCATTCTGGGAGGCTGAGGCAGGGAAATCACAGGTTCCAGCCCAGCCTGGGCAATCGAGCAACTTAGTGAGACCCTGCCTAAAAATTTAAAAAATGAGAAGGGGCTAGGGATGTAGCTCAGCATGAAGGCCCTGGGTTCAGTTCTCAGTATCACACACACACACACACACACACACACGACTGCTCGCTGGGTGCCTGTGAAATGGACGTGTGCCTGAGTGCAGGAGTGCAGGACTCCTCCGCAGCCTACGAGGCCATCACCCCCTGCCCTGTGCTGCAGCCAAAGGTCCCACAGCCCTAGGAAGCGGAACCTCATCCCACCCTGGGTCGGGCCAGCCTCCCAGTGCTGAGTCCCTTCAGGCCTGTGTCCTGTCTGTGAGCCCCACGCAGGGCCGGCAGCCAGCGGTGGAAAGGGGCATCTGCAGGGCTGGGACTGTGTCCTGAGCCTACAAAGCTCTTGTTCCTCCCTCGGAGGGACAGAGTCTTCCACCCACTTCGTAGCACTTCCAGGCAAACCCTCACTGAGCAGGGTCTGCTTGTCACTGGGATGGCCAGCCAGCACCTCGGGGACAGGCGAGGCTCCCGGAGCCAGGGGGACCAAAGTCAGGCAGCCTCACGCCCTCAGCTGCCCGGCTTGCCAGCAAGGCCACGGGGGACTCTCAGCGTGATGCCAGTTCCTGTGGGGAGGCAGGAGCCTGAGATGCTGTCCCACCCTGCCCCTCCCATTCTGACCCAGTGGACGGTGTGCACCGGGGCTTGGGTTCCTCACCCCACTAAGGGCTGAGAGGTCCCCAAACCCTGCTGTCTGCAGGCACGTGGCTCCCAGCCTCTGGTGATCGGTGATGGGACCCTCTTAGGAGGACAAGGGGTGGCACCTGCTGCATGCCCACCACCACCAGCTCTGCTTCCGCCACCTGAGCCCACTCAGTGGTGGAGACCTCAGCCCATGCCCATGAGGTGGAACATCGTCCTCACAGATAAGCGGAAACAGGCAAAGAGATGTCAGTCGACTCACTGAAGTCACACAGCTAAAGAGAAACAGAGCTGGGAGGGGAACCTGGCAGTGAGGCTCTGCCCTCCAGGTTCTGGGAAGAGAGGGGCAACAGCCCACCCTGAGGACAGCGGGTACGGACCTGAGGGGACTGCACAGGGGGCTGGCGGCTTCTGCTGCTGCTGCTCTTCTGCTCTCACTCTTTCTCTTTCTTTCTCCTTTCCCTCCTTTCCTTTCCTCTCCTTTCTCTCTCTTTCTCTCTTTCTTTCTTTCTCTTTCTTTCTTTCTTTCTTTCTTTCTTTCTTTCTTTCTTTCTTTCTTTCTTTCTTTCTTTCTTTCTCTTTCTTTCTTTCCCTCCCTTCCCCCTCCCCTCCCCTCCCCTCTCCTTTCTCTCCTTTTTTTGTGGTCCTGGGGATTGAACCCAGAGTCTTTGCATTGAACTGCATCTCCAGTCCTTCTCTTATCTTTTATTTTGAGACAGGGTCTCGCTAAGTCACTGAGTTGCTGAGGCTGAGCTCAAACTTGAAGTCTTCCTGCCTCAGCCTCCGAAGTGCCGAGGTTACAGGCGTGCACCTCCATGCTTGGTGACACTGCTGTACACATGGCAACTTTTATACAAATTTGTGAATCAATAATATGATGGAACTTGTTATGACATGGGATTACATGAACCAAGGGATTAAAGTTAGTATATAGAACTAGGATTACTATGGTATAAAAATAAAATGTGCATCTATGCGTAGAATAGAGACAAGCAAAGATTGGCCAGGGTTCCTTGGGTAGTAGAGTGTGGGGAATTTCTTCTCCATGCCTCTCTGTTTTTCTGAATTTTTCAAATTTATCCCAATGAGCTGGTATTGCTTTCTTATAACAATGAAATACAAAAAATAAACACAAAACCAAAAAAGCCCTTGCATTTTCCCCATCATTTTCATCCCAGACTGACTGTTCTTCTGCTGATCAAAGAAAAAATTAATCATAAAACATGGGTGTGGTCTGTAACTTGAGACGGAAATTTTATGAAACATTTTCCCTCAAAAAAAAAAAGACTGGCAGTGGTAGGGGAAAAGAGCAAACTTTGTGCGTCTACATTTTTTATATCTATTAACATAGAATAAATACTTATTTTTTTGAGACAGGGTCTCGGTATGTAGCCCAGGCTGGCCTTGAACTCATGGTGATCCTCCTGCCTCAGCCTCCTCAGTGCTGGGATCACAGGCGTGTGCCACCCCACCCGGCCACTCCTTTACTTTGTGAGCTCCTGCATGTTTGGGAGATGAGCTGACAGTGACCGCGAAGCCGCTGGAAAGTCAAGGAAAGTGGCTTGAGACCCCAGGGACCCTCGCCTCTGAACCCCCGGGTGGACATGGCCTCTTTCACGGGTTCGTACTGTGTCACTGTCGCCAGGGGACAGTTCAGGGTGGGGGACTGGGTGTCAGCGGGGAGACCGAGGGAAGGGGAATAGAGGCGGGAATATTCTCTAGATGGGCGGCAGGCCCACGTGGAGCCGTGTGCTGAGGCCCCTTCCGGAGCCGAGGACACTGGCTTAGACAGCGTCCCCTCTGGAGCGCGGGGTCCCCAGGGCGCCCTGCGCCCCACCCTGAGCTCAGCAGCAGCCGGGTGACTTACGGAGAAGACGGCGGCCAGCGTCTCGACGCCGCCCGTGCTCAGCGTGACGTAGGGGATGCTTCCCGGAGCGATCCCGGCCTTCCCGAAGATGCTGTTGGTGTAGAACCATATCTAGACAGAGGAAGGAGAAGAAATGGAGACTGCCGTGATTCAGGGCTAAGGCGGCCTCTGAGCCTCGCTGCTAAGCCCAGAGTCAAGCGGTGGGGCAGTGACGTGGTCACTCATTTTAACAGAACTCACACAAGCCCGGGAGGGACATGGGACTAGCTATGAGACCACCTCCCAGTCAAGTGTGACAGTGAGACAGAGACACGAATGTTGGTGGGCGGAAGTATGCTCCCATTCCCCCCCCCCCCACTTCTTCCCCTCTGCTGTCGGAATGATGGAGGGATGGCTGGAACTTCAGCAGCCCTTTTGGATTATTATGCAACCTCAGGATAACAGTGCTGTTAACCCCCATGGGAACTTTGTGAGAGCCAGAAAAGGTCCCTGTTTTGTCACCCAAAGCCAGATCTAGCTGACACTGGCATCCATCGTGGACTCAGGGTTTCAAAACTTAGTTCCTTCTTTTTTTTTTATAGTGGGGATCAAATTTAGGACCTTGCACTCGCCAGGTAGGCGTGGTTCCACTGAGCTACATCCCCAGCATTTTCCTTCTTGAGAGAGCAGTATGGCCTGTTTAGATTCCCTCTCCTCCCTGGTCAAAAGAACACCCCGTGCTGGCCTCCCTGGCCTGGGTGTTGTCCAGCTGGGTGTCATGGACGACGAGGTGGGAGACCAGTGGGCTGCTCCCGACTGACTTCTGTGATCCCCCAGCCTGGCCATCAGCCTAGACCCAGAGCCTACAGAATAACAGGAAGCTGTACAAACGTGTTCTGTTAGCAGCATTTGTTCAACACAAGTTATTCGTGTACCGGGGAAGACAGAGGACGTACTTATCGGGATGGCAGGTTAATTTTCAGGGAAGAGACGATTCTTCCCGAGGCACACCTGGAAACACCAGTCACAAACCGCTGCACTCGAGCACAGTATTTAAGGTTCCCGGGAACAAGGACCCTGCCCTGGTCCCCACTGCTCCATACCTGCCTGTCCTTCCAGTGACCTTGGGAATGAGACCATCTTGGCTGTGGCATCCGCAGGGCACCCAGGTGGCTCCTGCAAAGCTCTTTAGTTTCTAAAGCTCTTAGGGCTGTGGCAGAAGCACTGTGATCCCAGAAGCCCTGGGCCAGGTTCTCGCTCATACTCCGGGCCGCACCTCCGGGACCCGCCCAGACACCCGGGCGCCTGTACTAATCTGCAGGTGTTTCTTATGCAGTGAAGCCGAGACAGTGGAACAAGCAGTCACGTGACCCCTGGGACTGGCCCAGCTTTCGGCCCAGGAGAACTGGCAGAGACTCACGTGGCCCAGCGCCTCCTCTCTGCTGAACCCCCAGGCGCCCTGCCTGTGGAGGAGTGAGGGGCTCCAGTCCGGCGGAGGGTGCTGAGCCCTGTGCCCACCCTGGGGCAGGGACACTGTCCGGAAGGAGAAGCCCCTGCCCTCTGCTCCAAGGAGAGTCTGGCTGCATGCAGAGCGAGGCTGCTGCCAAAGAGAAGTGACTTTAGAAGACAGGTCTCATTTTAGAGGAGAAAACTTGAGGGCTATTGTGAGAGGATGGAGTACAGCCCTGAAGGGGCATTTAGGAATATCTGCACCTGACTCCAACTTTCGTGCAGTCACTCAAGTACAATAAAACCACCCACCGAGTCTTTAGCTTTCGTGTACTGAGCTAGGGGTAACGTTTGTTTCACACAGTGGATCTCAACACGGGGTGACCTCGGCTGCAGGGGACGTTTGGTGGTGTTGGGGCGCATTCTTGGCTGTCACAGCCGGCGGGGAGCAACTGGCCAAGTGGGTAGAGGCCAAGAGTGCCAGGCACCCTATAGCCCCATGACAAGGACTCTTCCAGCCCCACACATGGAAGGTCTGAGGCCGGGAAACGCTGGCTTGGCGCCAGGTGCCTGGGACTCAGAGTTGGGCTGGCAGAGCCTGGTGGGCCATCCTGGGCCACGCAGCTGCCACCAGAGGTGTGAGTTTGCCAGTGGCACCCTGGGACCTTGGGCAAGTCCCTGACCTTGTGCAAGGCTTGGGTTCTTTGTGTAGAAAATGAGGACAGTGCTGCTGACCCCGAGGGACCATTCAGGGCAGGAGCAAGGAGACCCTTGGGAAGGTGACTGGAGAATTATCAGGTGTCTCAAGGGACAGCCTATGCCTCTCAGAGTGACTTCTGGTAAAACGAAGGGCAGTGCCAGTGATGACTGGGGTAGTGCACTCCTCGGCCTCAGAGATGTGGAGCAAAAGGCAGCAGATGCAGGGAGAGCCTGGCCCAGGTCCAGCAGGTCGGGCACTGAGGCTGGCATGGGCCACCGGTCTGCTAAACATAAAACAGAGCAGGCAGGACTTGTCCCAGAGGTTGCCTGGGGGTAAACTGGGGACAGCTCGAGGGACATATACGGGTATGCTGTGAGGGACTTCCAGAACCCTCTATGTTCTGGCCTTAGGCATTCAGACCTTGTAACAAAACACCGGGGGCTCAAATCCCTTTTCTATTCTTCCTGGCTGTGTGATTCCGGAGAAGTGTCTCATTGTCTCTGTTCCTAACAGTGGGGCCGGGGGACAACTCCTGGTTCTCGCTTAGCGTAGATTCCTGGGTCACTTGATTAACCCTGTAGCCGAAGTTACTGGGCCAGGTAAGGGGAAGCACCTGGCCCAGCTTCTCCCTGCCAGCTCTCGGTCACACAGGGACAGGAAGCTGGGCCTCTGACTGTGCAGAGCTCTCTGCAGTGGACACAGCGCCGCTGGCTGCAGGAGCAGAGGGGATGCAGGGCTTGCGGATTTGCCCTGGTGGAATTTGTAAGGTCACATGGGGCGTGCGAATGGGAGCGTTCTGTCCAGCGAGGACGCCGCTCCGTGCACACACGCCGCAGTTCTCCACCACAGTGCTCAGTAAGCACAGACTCAGACGCATTCTTTGAGACTCCAAGGCTGAGCCTTAGGAAATGTTACCTCTCCCTCTCCACCCAGGGCAACGAGCAGGGCCAGCCAAGTAGCTGGCACCGAGGTAGGAGATAGAGCAAGGAGAAGTAAATGTAGAAAGCTGTGAGACAAGAATCAAGAAACCAGACAGAGCAAGGAAGACCATCTCAGTATCAGAAACCAACAGAAAAGGGTCATCGTCCACCTCAAGAGCACCACCCCTGAAGACATCCCATTCCATTTTGCAGAAGCAACAATACCGATAGTGACTCCATGGAGTCTGCCTCCTTGTTTCTCAGATTCAGGAATTCTACTTCTAGAGCTTTGGAGAGAGAAGAGATGGCCATGCCCAGCAGAGGGCTGGGATCCCTGGAGAGAGACCCTTAGCTCAGGAACCAAAGAGACTTAATGAAAAGCCTTGAGGTTTTCTCAGGCCAAAGGGCTGAGTTGAAGCCAGCCCAGCCAAGACCACTCTCGTGTTCATCTGGATTATCAACTTGATTAGCTTGAGAGCTACCTGGGAGATCAGTAAAGCACGTCTGGAGGTATGTCTGGGTGGGTGGAGTAGTGACCTTGGGGCTCAATCTGGTCTCTGGGCTTTCCTTCTTGGGCTCCCTCCCTCCTCTCTGCTTCCTGGATCTCGAATTGAGCAGCTTTCCTCCACCATGCCGTTTCTGCCTTGGAGCCAGTAAACCATGGACTGAACCCCCTGAAATCATGAGCCAGAATAGACCTTTCCTCCTTAAAGTTGTGGGTATTGGGTATTTTGATCAAAGTGACAAAAATCTAATAAGAAAAGGAAATCTTATCAATACATCTATTTTTATTGAAATAATCTCATTGTCTCCCATGTATGCCTTCCTATGTGCTCATTTCAGTGAGAAGTACAATTTTTAGGGTTCCAGGGGATAAATAATGAGAGTGGTAGGCAACATCTCTGAAGGTATAAATGACTCAGTGTTGCCCAACACTTCGTGTGAATTTCCTTTGTGTGTGGCACCATCCCATTCTACAGATGAGGAAATTGAGGATCTGTTAAGTTCATGGCTGCTCAGCAGCATGGAGCTGGGGGAGGCTGGCAGAGCTGGGACTGGAGCCAGGGCTCACGGCCCCACCCCCAAGTCCTCCTGCCCGGAGGATGGCACTCACCGCATTGAGGCCGCAGAGCTGGTAGCAGGCCATGATGACAACCACGGTGATGACCTGGCAGCGGACAAAGGGAGCCCTCAGCAGCTCCAGGACAGGCACCAGGCGGATGTTCCTCTGCACACGGTTCTCAGCCAGGATCTCTTCCATCACTTGGGAGACATCCGCTTTGCCCAGGAACTTCTGGAAGGCTGCAGTCAGGGGTCCAGTTAGGATGTCTGCTGTAGCTAAGGGATGGTGCCCCCCCACCTTGTTGGGGGCCTCTGAAACAGAATCCAAAGCCCCCACCTGAGGTCACCCAGCTGCCTGGGGGGAACTCAGTCTCCTCATCACCTCCATGGCAATGTGGAGCATGCCCGGGTTCGAACCGTCTCTATCAGGGCAGCTGGCTTCCTGTTTGTCCTGGGTTCCCTCGCTATTGCCTCCATGGCTGCTGTAACAACTGCTCATGGTATCAGACACACCAACCCCAGACTCAGAGCTTCCCACATGCAGGAAGCATTTACTGGGGCCCCTGTCTGTTTGCCAGGGCTGTCTCTGCTCTCGCTCGGTGGGGTGTCCAGAAGTTTCCATCCCACTTGGCCAGGATCCAAGTGATGCCCCGAAGTCGGATCTGTCACAGGAAGGAAGACTGAACCTAATGACCTTCTAGGTCTTTCCATGTGGCCCTCAGGAATGCAGACACCGTGAACAGAAATCATCTCAAAGATTTCATCTTCCCAGGGCTCAAACTCCCCCTCGCAATTTACACCATTTCCAGATTGAACACTGCAAATTTCCAGCCTCTGAAAAACCTGCATATCTGACTGAGACCTTAATTATGGAAACCTCCCTCCCTGGAGGAATGCCCGAGGTGGGCTGCCTGATCAGGCCCTACATCATTATCGGCCAATGGGGGGGGGGGCGGTGATAGAGCAAGGATTTAAATATTCAGCTCTCTGACATCCTTCCTCCTATGCGGAAAGGGGGCTGTCTCCAGGGCTCCCGGGGACGGTCCATCCCAGGGCCAGCGGGTAGCATCCTTAATGACTCTGCTCCACGCCACAGGACACATGAAATTGTTCATCTAAGCAAGGAAAAAATAAAAGCTGTTAAACTTGCCCCTGATTCGTGCTAAGGCTTTGTTCTTTCCAGTATTCTACTGAAAATTGCCAAGTGTCTCTGAAAGCTGTGAGTTAATGCTTTTCCCAGCACGGTCTCAGGGTGAGGGGGAGAAGTAGGTTGGTGAGTAATGTTTCTGCACCATGCATGGAACCGCGGTTTTTCTAACATTGCTTCAAATTTCACAATGCAACATCTCTGTGATAAGAGTTCCAGAACTGGAGGGCAGGAAAATATTTCTCCTCTCCCCGACATGCATGTTTTCCATAATAAAACAAGGAGAATTTGACAACCTTTTCTTTCCCCTTTTCACTTTAGCTGACAGGAAGCTCTCAGCCAAGTTCAGTTCACAGAATTTCCTGGAAGAAAAATCTGTCTTCATCTTAGAAGTTCTGATCATCTTCGACAGTTGCAATCAACCTGCAGACTGCAGGCCACCTGCCCTCCTTTTAATGTTCTAATGAAAATATTTTAGATAGAGGAGGTTTTGTTATTTATGTACATGAACTATATTCTATATTTCATATGTGGCCCAAGACAATTTCCTTGACCCAGTGCAGCTCAGGCCGGCCGAGTGGTCAGTTCTAACTAACTGTGCACACGGATGAGTGGGCTTCCTAACGGCAGACCTGTACATGCACACGAGGTACTCCGACACTTTCATCTCTCTTTGCTTCCCCCTTCCCCTGCTCTGGACACCCACGCTGTAAACGTCAGCTTAACCTCGGCACTGAGGATGTCTTGGGCTGGATAACTGCTGTGGGTCCTGGGCACTGGGTCACGTCTGTCAGTGCTGCTGCCTCTGCCCACTGGATGCCAGTAGCTGTTGGTTGTGACAATCAAAAATGTGTCCGGATACTGCCCAATATCTCCTCTCCAGAGGCCCCCAAGCTTCTTTCCCCCCACATGGCCCCCCAGCACCCCCTCCTGGCCCCTCCCCCAGTGCCACCCCAGGCTTCAGCCCCTCCCTCTGCCCCCATGGTACAGAGCATCTCTGCAGGCCGAGGTCTAGGGCCACCCTTCTGTCTGCTGATTGCCAGGTCAGTTCCTTCCCCATGGCTCCCTCCCTCCATGTGTTGGGGTTGGGCTTGAGTCCCCACTATCTCATGGCCCCATTCACACTTACTGAGCCGCTACTTCATTCCAGGCCTGATGCTATCTATGTAGGCACTGCAGGAACAGGAGCTACAGGCCTTGCATAGGCAGTGCCCCTGCCAGGTCTCCTAATGCGCCTTCTGGGAGAGCCTCCGTGGAAATCAGAGATACAGACAGAGCCAAGGAAATTAGCCATGGGTTCAGCTCTCCTGAGCTAGTCTCTGGATGATCCTTGCTCCAGCCTCAGAGTGCTCATGTGTAAAGTGGGGCAGAAGTCACCCACGTCTCCATGGCCTTACGAGGGTCCCCTGGGCAGAGCTTGGCTTGGCATACTTGCAACACCTGAACTTCCCCATTCCAGGGACAGGTAACCCCACTAGGAGGCTCATGGGACTCAAGACACCATGGTGCCAAACCCAAGATGGGCAGATGATTTGGGGGTGCCTCTGTGCAGTGCTGCCTGAGGTCGAGGGGTGAGGGTCTGGAAGGGGCAGGGTGGGAAACTCTGGTCAGGGATTACGCACACAGCTGAACCAGGCTGCTGGTGGAGGCTGACCACGTGGCATTCCAGCTGCGACACCATGGCAGGGTGGATCAGCCTCCCTCTGCCCTGTGCCCTCAGCTCTGGGACATGGCAGTACTCGACCAGTGACGGCTGGAGAGATGTCAGGTGGGGGGCGTGGGCATCCCAAAAGGTCCAAGGAAGCCCAGACCTCCCTGGAGCACAGGACTGAAGATGTGTGGCTCACCATCATGCCAGTTGGGCCAGGACCTTCAAGGGAGTGGGGTGGCTCTGGGGTCTGGACCGAGGAAAAGGGCTGCACGATCCTGCCTACACAGGCAGGCTGAATGATGGGCATTTCCTCTCCCTCTCTTCCAGACACTGCAAGCCTAAGACCAGGGCGCCAGCTGAGTTCAGTTTCTGGTGGGACCACTTCCTAGCTTACAGATGGGCAGTAGGGGCAGGTAGAGGGACACACACAAAGAGCACAGGGCAGGGCTCAGAGGGCTGACACTAAAATCACCGCATGCTTATCAGGTCCCATGTGCTCGAGGAGTGTACCCCACCGAGTGCTTGAGAAATCCCCAACTGACCTCCCCCCTTCCCAGAAACAAAGGCTAAGACCCTGACTGGCTGGGACATCAATCAGTAAAACAGTTAGTCTTAGAAAAGCAGCTCACCCTGTCAGTATGAATACTCCCAACCCGGTGGGCACTCACTCGAGGCCCCTACCGCGCAGCCCACTCTGCTGCTATGACAGCTCTTCTGTTTCCTCTGCATTCGCCACACTTTACAGAAACTTTCAGTTCGCATCGTATCAGTCTTGACTTCCCCATTGCCCGCTAAGAGCCCCACCTCTTCATTCTTCATTGGAGTGAGGGCAGGAACCTGGAGAGGGATGGTGGGTTATTATGGGGGACCTCTAGCACCCCTCGGAAAATCCTCCACTGGATACAACACTCCCTGGGCCCAGAGAGCGCTGGTGTCTCTTGTCTTCCTACAAAACACCAGGACTATGGACCAGGCCCTGTCCTTGTGAGCTTACTTGACCTCATTATTGTCTTACAGGCCCATCTCCAGGTCATACCAGGGCTTAGGGTTTCTGCCTGAACTTGGGGGAACACAACTCGGTCCCCAACACTTCCCTGGAGTTCCTGCCCTTCACTCATGGATTGCTGCTCCCTGCCTTCTGCCAGCCCAGGTTACATTCCCACTGCAGGAAATAAAGATGCGGGGAGAGTTGACTGGGTCCAACTTTCAGCCCAGAAGTTTTCCAGATCTATTTTCTGGCAGACTCAGAAAGAGAACCAGAAGTTGAGCATGGTCAGACTCAGGCTCTCAAACGCCCAGCAAAGTTCTGAGTCCTGCAGGCAAAATGTGCAGAGGCGGAAGACCAGGAGGGAGGGACAGGCCATGGACATGATGATTCGGGTTCCTGACTACTGCCTGCTACCGTGGGGCCTTGGCAAGTCGCTGCAGCCTCACGCACGCCCTTCCTTGGGTTTGCTGGGCCCCCGTGACAACTGAGTGAAATAACACCTCCAAGGCCTACTCACATCTGTGACCTGATTGTGTGATGTGCTGACAAAGAGGTCGACTCAGGGCTACACTGCCTGGGTTTAAATCCTGGTTTCGCTACTTTCCACTCAGTATGACGCTAGATGAGTTACTTAATGTTCCTGTGTCTCAGTTTCCAGCTCTGTAAAATGGACATAGTCATAGTGGGGTTGTCACTGGTATTAAATGTCATTACCTATGGTGTCATTAGAATACTACCTGGCTCTGGATGATTAATGAGCACTGTAAATACATCAACACTGACAGTAGGTTCTTGCCACCTACTTCCCTTCCCTCCATTCTTCTCTCCTCCTTTCCTCTTCTTTTTGGCTGGACAATGGCTGGAAAGTGCCAGAACCTTCTATTAGGAGCTGAACTATGTCCCCACAAGCGTGTGTTGAACCGTTGTACCCGTGGATGTGGCCTTTGGAAACAAGTCTTCCAAGGTGGTGAAGATGGAGTTAAGATGAGTCCATGCTGGAGGACCATGGACCCTTGTCCCATGTGACTCTGGTCCCTATAGAAAGGGGAGACAATAGAGACACAGAGGACACAGTCTTGTGATAATGAGGTGGAGGTCAGAGTGCTGCTGCTATGAATCAGCGGAGGCCCAGACTGATGGTTTACATGAAGCACATCTCTCAGAACCCTCACTGGCTCATAGGCAAGGCTTTGGGAAGATGATGGCTCATGGGGTGCTGTGGCTGACTTGCTGTTAGGAGGCAGTGTCTGGTTGGAAGAGGCAGTCACTGGGGCCATGGCTTGGAAAGGTTTCTTTCCGTCTTCAGCTCCTCCCTTTCCACTCTGCTTCCTGGCCACCATCCTGTGAGCAGCTCTCCCCCACCAGGCCCCTCTGCCACGTCGTCCTGCCTTGGAGCCAGCTGACCACGGACTAAACCTTTACAATCTGAAGCCAAAATAGATCTTCATCCTTTA